AGAATGGTTTTAACTATATAATAAATACTTATTAATGGATGAAATTCCAATTTAAATTATTAAATTATTGTTTTTTTTTTTTTTTAACTACTGGATGTGGATGCGGACTGGCCGCGTATAATAACCAGGAAAGGGCAGGTAGTCACGCCTGTACATAAATGGGGTGGGAGGTTGAGGCAAATCGCCTGGCTGCCAATTTTGAACAGCCGGGCACCAGGGCGATTAGAACAGCACAGGTAGGCGTGCTGTGCATCAGAGAGGCTTTGAAAACCAGTTTCATGACTGGCCAGGCTACGGTGTGACAGTCGTGTGTGTTTCTCCTTGATGCAAACCCGTCCCCTTTGTTGATTTTAATTCCCTGTAAGACAACCACCCTCCCCCCTTCAATCACAGCTGGCAAAGGAAATAAAGTCACTATTGTTTTGAAACCATGCATTCTTTCTTTATTAATTAAATTAAAGAAAAGGGAGATAACTGATAAGGTAGCCCGGGTGGGGTAGGGGAGGAGAGAAGGACAAGGCCACATTGCTTATTGTAGCCACACTACAAATCAAAACTGTTTGAATGACAGCCTTCTGTTGCTTGGGCCATCCTCTGGAGTGGAGTAGCTGGGTTCCTGGAGCCTCCCCCTGCATTCTTGGGTGTGTGGGTGAGGAGGATATGGAATTTGAGGAGGAGAGCAGGCGGTTGTACAGTGGATGCAGCTGCGGTCTGTGCTCTTGTTGGCTTTCCTGCAGCTCCACCAGACGCCTGAGCATGTCTGTTTGCTCCCCCATTAGCCTCAGCATTGCATTCTGCCTCTTCTCATCGCGCTCACTTAATGCTTTCCTGGACTCTGCCACTGAATGCCTCCATGAATTCAGCTGTGCCCTATCAGTGCGGGAGGACTGCATGAGCCTGGAAAACATGCCATCACGAGTGCGTTTTTTTCGCCTTCTAATCTGCGATAATCTCAGGGATGGAGATGATGGGGGAGGATAGAAACATTTGCACCTGCGGGGGGATAAAAAGGGAGAGTAAAATTTAAGATTATACATTTCTGAGAATAAAAGGGAGACTTTCACAGTGAATCAAGCAATTCACAGCAGACAGCACATGTGCTTTAGGTACAAGATCGCATTTTGCCTTTTATATTGAGCGCCTGCTGGTATGGTGACACATCACACATGGCTGGGCAACAGAATTCGGTTTCCAGGCAGCCATGGTAAGCCAAAGGGTAAATGGGTTTTGCTTCTAACATCCTCCTAAACATGTGGGAATGTTTTCAAACTGCAGAGCCCTTCTTTCCCATAGAAAGCAATGCCGTTTGGATTTGCCATTTAAAAGGAGGGGCTGCGGTCTTCGGGTGGAAGTGCAGCACACACTTCCCCCCACTCCTCCGTGTGGCTATTTGGTATGATCCCTTCACCCCTCCCCCTGCCGCATGGCTATTCTCAGGGATGATTCCTTTTAGCCAAGTGCAAACAGCCCAGCATGAATGGGGTCCTTTTACTGTTCCCTTACAAAAATTTCAACCAGGTGACCATGAATGATATCACTCTCCTGAGGCTAACACAGAAAGATATAGACTGAATGTTGCTTGAATGCGACCAAAACCCAGGACCATTCACTGCCATGCTTTGTGCTGCAATGATTCCAGACCACTTGCTACTGGCTTGGCGTGGTAAAGTGTCCTACAGTGGAGGACGAAATAAGGCAGCCCTCCCCAGAAACCTTCTGCAAGGGCTTTCAGGCCTGGTCTACACTCAATCTAAGTTACGCAACTTCAGCTACGTGAATAACGTACTTAGATCGACTTACCGTGGTGTCTTCACCACAGTGAGTTGACTGTTGCCGCTCCCCCGTCGACTCTGCCTGCGCCCTCACCGAGCTGGAGTACAGGAGTCGACGGGAGAGTGCTTGGGGATCGATCGCAATAAATCGATCCCCTCTGGATCGATTGCTGCCCGCGATCCAGCCGGTAATGAAAACATACCCTCAGAGTACCTTCAGGAGAGCTTCATGGAGCGTCCCTGGAGGATTCCTGCTCCATCCCCAGGCATCTTAACAGACTTTTCCAGTAGCTGTACTGGCCACGAATGCATCCCAAGTCTTCAGGGCAAATTAAACACTATTGCTTTTAAACCCTGTACTGTAGTTACAAATATGCACTCACCAGAGGTGCCTTCTCCACTTTCAGGGTCGGGGATCCTGCCTTGGGAGGGTATTGGCTCCAGGGTGATGAAAAGGTCCTGGTTGCCAGGGAGAATGGATTCACCGCTTGCCTGCTGCTCTTCCTCATCCACAAAATCCTCCTGTGTGTTGCGTGAGACTCCCCCCTTGCAGGTGTCCACGAACAGTGTGGGGTAGTGGTAGGGTCCCGCCCTAGAATGCCATGCAGCTGATCATAGAAGCGGCACGTATGGGGCTCTGACCCAGAGCGACCGTTTGCCTCCTTTGTCTTTTGGTAGGCTTGCCTGAGCTCCTTAATTTTCACGCGGCATTGCTGTGTGTCCCTGTTGTAGCCTCTGTCCATCATGCCCTGTGCAATTTTGGCATATATATTAGCATTTCTTCTCTTTGATCGGAGTTCTGCCTGCACAGATTCTTCTCCCCATACAGCAATCAGATCCAGTGTCTCCCTTTCGGTCCATGCTGGAGCTCGTTTGCGATTCTGGGGGGACTGCATGGTCACCTGTGCTGCTGAGCGCGCCACGCTGACCAAACAGGAAATGAAATTCAAAAGTTCCCAGGGCTTTTCCTGTATTCGTGCAGCGGAGTTGAAAGTGCTGTCCAGAGCTTGTCATATTGGAGCACTTTGGGATAGCTCCCGGAAGCCAATAACGTCGATTTGCGTCCGCACTACCTCAAATTCGACCCAGCAAGGTTGATTTTAGCGCTACTCCCCTTGCCAGGGAGGAGTACAGAAGTTGATTTTAAGAGCCCTTTAGTTTGACAGAATGGGGTTGCTTGTGTAGACGCATTCATTGTAAAATCGACCTAATGCAGCTAAATTCGACCTAACCCTGTAGTGTAGACCAGGGATAAATGGTCTCAATGCCACTAGATGGGATAGAGCACCTCACCGAGGAGGTGCGTAGGGTACACCTGCTCTATTCAAGCACCCCCTCATGGCCACTCAAACAGCTGTGAGGGGAATCCAAACCTCTGGATCCCTAGATATTTTAAGCAGTCCATCTCAACAGGCTACAGTGCTGTTTCCTCCTTTATCTCTCTGCAGACTTCCTGGGCACCGATTTGCTCTGTTGCCCCTTCCATGGAAATGGGGCCCCTGAAACCACGTGCTTGTCGGCCTAAGGCAGGTAGACTGAGGGGCTCCATTTCTGCAGGGAAGTGCTATTATTCCCATTTTTACAGATGAGGCGCTTAGTCACAGACAGACTGACTTGGTCAAGGTCACAAATGGTCTGTCGCAGAGCAGCAAATTGGACCCAAGTTTGAGGTCCTAACCCCTGGATCATCCTTCCTCTCTGGTCAGCCACAATGTCTTTCTCCTCTTCAAAACATGTCCCCGCTGACTCTTTGTCCCTGACCCTGAATCCTCCACCTGCAGGTTCCATGCTGCTGCCTGCCTCTGCGTGGAGTGGATGGTTGAGTAGGGAGAGCCAGGCTTGTTGTAGACTGGCAGAGACATGGAGATGATGCAGAGGCAGAGAAGGGCCTAACATGCAGCCAGTGCATTCTGCACTGGGACTAATCGCTGTGAAGGAGCCAGAGGCTGTGGAAGGGAGAGCTGGGTATGATACATGGAAGTACTAATAAATTACTTAAAAAAAAATTAATACCTCAAAACTTTCACCTAGATTTAAAGTTGACTGGGGATGCCTGGTTCCCGTCTGAAACAACAAGTTCTGCTAAACTTACATCTTTCAAAACTAGGAAATAAAGAGTGCAGATGCACTAGGTGCATGTTTTGTGTTAGGTAAAATGTATTAACAGGAGCTACCTCCACCTATCCTACTCTCAAACACTGATCCTACTCCACAGAAACATCCCAACATTTGCTAAACACTATGACCCCTTCAACCTTTATAGGAGTCCATCTAATGGTATCACTTAACCATTATTAGACCTACAGACCACTCTCGTATCCCATCTCACCGCTGGCAATCCCCAGGGCAAGGAGACTCTTGTGTGTTGCTACTAATACACCACAATTCAGCACTGAAATAAGGCATGCTGATCTAAGGAAAGAGGTGCCTGTATACTATGAGAAATGAGGACACATGGGGGAAGAGAGAGGGGCTCAAACTTCCCACATCTCAATCATCAGATTCTCCAACTCCTCTGTCCATCGCTATTGCCAGCTCCAGGGAGGCAGTCAGGGTTGCATTGATGTTGTGTAACTTGTCTCTTCTGCAGCCTTTAAATCTTATCTTCTCCAGACTCTAAGGGTCAAACATTCCCCATACATTTTACTTATCATTTTAGTGACAGCTACGGATTGTGATGGACACTTGGTCCCAGATCCTCGAAAGGCTCCAAACTTCCATTGAAATGAATTGAAGTTAGGAGCCTAAGTACCGTGAAGATCTGGGCTTTGGGACCGAGGAAGTTGTGAATAGGCATGTCATGAGGCACGGCGAGGCCGCTCCAGTCCATTTATAATTGCGCCTGCGTCTCCAAATTGCATGTGTGAACACAGGGTAGGGGTGAAATTTGCATGATCTAGAAGGCGTTAGAAGTGGGAACGACCCCCCGCCCCCAACTTGGAGCGATTTCACACGGGAGACTCTCTTCCCCCAGGCCGAGCCACTACCCTGGATGGGGACGCGTGGCTGTAACCCGAGCCCGGGTCCGAATACAGGAGCAAGCCCCGCGTGGACCCGCCGCTCTGGGGATCCCCTCCCCCCCTTTTCCTTACGCCCGGATTTGTTTCCGTGCCACCTGGGCCAGGAGCTAACTTCGGTCGCCGCGCCTCGCCCCCCTTCCGGGAGCGGGTCTCTCCAGGGCCCACCCCTGGCTGGAGGGGAGTGTCTGCGCCGCCTGGGCTGGAGGCGGAGGGGAAGCGCCGATCCCCGCCCCAGCGTGGGAATCGCCGGGAGGGGCCGGCCCTGGCGCAGGGAGGGAGGGAAGATGGCCGGGACAGGCGCCGGGCTGGAGCGGGGGGGAGCCGGCGGGGCTGTGAGCGGGGCGGGCGCTGGGAGACGCGGGCTCTCGGGGCCGCTGCCGGGCGGGGTTAGCGGCGGGGCTGGTCCCGGCTCGGAGCGGGGGAGGATGAGCCCGGCGCGGCGCTGCCGGAGCCGCCCGAGTCCCGCTCCCCGCGGGGCCGCTTGGTAGCGCTGGAGGCGGCGACGGCGGCGGGCGGCCGGGGCCCGGCAGCGGGGCCGGACGGGGAGCGGGCGGCGGCTGGGGCCGGGTGGCGGCGGCCGGGGGAGCGGCGGGGCTATGCCGTGGGTGAGCGGCCGGCGGCGGCGGCAGCAGCAGGGAGCCGGGCAGCCGGCGGCGGGGGGCGGGCCAGCGGGGCCGGGAGAGCTCGGAGCTGCCGCTGCCCGCGGGCTGGGAGGAGGCGAGAGACTTCGACGGGCGCGTCTTCTACATCGACCACAACACCCGGCAGACCTCGTGGATCGACCCCCGGGACAGGTAAGGGGCCGGCGGGCACCCACGCCGCCTGCACAGGGGGCTGCCCTGGCAGCGCTGCGCCCCGGAGCCGGGGGAAGGGCCGCTAACTGCGGCCGGGGCCGCCCCAGCCAGGGGGGCACAAGGGGTGGGAGCCTGGCGAGCCCTTGGTTACATCTGGCTGATGCCCCCCTGGTCCCATCTCCTCCTGGGGGCGGGGTTTCCATTACCCCATTGTGCTCCCTTCCTGGGGGCGGGCAGCAGCCCGGGCTAGGGTGGATCGGCTGCCTCGCTTCCCTCGCCTCAGCAGCGGGGATTTGCTTTTGGACACTAGCGGGGCCGTGTTTCAAATCCATACCCTGCCCGCTTGCCCTCTCCGCGCTCACCCAACAGAGCGGTCGGGAGGTGTGTGCGCGCTGGCTGGGGCCGTCACGCCTTCGCCGGGCTGCTCGCTCTGCTGGAGCCAGGTTCAGCCCGCACCAACATAGAGACATTCCAAGTAGCAAAACTGTTTCAGCATTTCAGCTTGCACAAATGGGCTGAAGCCACCTGAAAGAGCAGCCGTTCTGCGGCACTCGATTTTATTGATCTGGCGATGGGGGTGGCTTGTCTGTTCCATGGTGTAAGTTTACGAGCCAAGAAAATCCAGAAAGGACACTTACCGCAACATATTTAAAGGGTTTATTGGATTTTTTGTAAGTCACGGGTTGCTCTAGTGATTTTTAACTCAACTCCCAATATGAAGTCAAAGAAACTCTTCTTGCTCTCATGGAAACTTCTGCAAACTATTGTTTGTATTTCAATATAAGTATTGTAAAGTATTCATAGTGGGGTGAAATATCGCTTTGCTATGAAGTGTGAAAGCGGAGATATTATTTGGTGGATTGTGGTGTAGTTTAGAAGTACAGAGTTGTCACTTGTTGAAATCTAATGCATTTCTTCTCAAGCTTTGACCTGCCATTTCCTTCTCAGAACAACAGAAAAATATTTAGGCCTCCTCTGATTTAAATATTCTTAAAGGGGCCTTGTGTGGAATCTTTGCTTCTCTGCTCTAGAAACCCCAAACAACTCCCACGCCCCTCAAACTGCACTATTTTAGATGTAGCTGTGTTTTTAAAAGAAATGGAGCATAAAGTCTCTTACAGTGGATAGACTGAGCTTCATAGCTTTATTCTGATACAGTACTCAGTTCCTGTAAACACTTGCACATGCTTAACTTTACTTGCATGAATAATCACACTGACTTCTGAAGTGGGCCAGCTCACTTAAGTTAGGTGTGTGTGTTTGCAGGATCAGGTCCCTAGTCATTTCTGTATAGGTATTAAAGTATATTTTTACTTCCAATTTGTAAATATTATTTGAGCAGTAAAAGCTTATTTTAGGAGACAAAGCAGCACTGTCTGTAGTTAGTGCCCAGGCATAGTTTTGTAAGTGGTGTATAACTAGAAGCTAGAGTGTGTTTTCATTTTTCAAATGCTAGTATAGAATCCACTATAACTTTGCAGCATGACCATGCTGATTTATTAGCCGATTTGAACGAATTGGAAACACAGCTGCTTGAGACATAATGAAATAATATGATAGATTTACCTTATCAGAAGATAACATTTAGGGAGAAATTTGGTAAATTAGTGTTTTTTCTAATCCATTTGAGGAATATGTGGACAACTACAAATTACTTTGGACTACATTGTTACAAAATGACTTCACATATTTTGGGCTTGGTGGCATGTCTCAATGAGTGAAAAAACATCAATTTTTAAAAATCAGTTTAAGTATTTTTTTTATAAACTTGCATCAGCTAAATGAAGAATTTCTTACAGTTTAAAGATTGTGGAAGTATGTCACATTTATAGATGGTGTGGTCTGGTAAACACAATCTCACTTTGAAGAGTTGCTCTAAAAAATTCCATGTAGCGTTACTGAACACAAGTGTCAGTATTTTAGGTGTTGGTAAAATAAGGAAGTTTGCTGTATACTTTTCTACATTAAACAATTTTTTATAGTCAGTGAAAGTTAGAAAAGGACAGTTTGAACTTCATCCAGAACTACCTTGCCAGAAATGTGCATGGAATGTTAAGCAGGCCACAGAAACATTTAAATGGAGTCTGGTTTAAAGACTAATAATAATTTGTTCAATTCCTGTTTTCTTGCACAATGGTACATTGCTGGTTTTGTAGGTAAATATTTATACTGTTTATACAGTTAACTGTTTTATTTGAAAACAAAATTTTGGCTTTTCCCATATTCTATAGACTGTGTATATGTGCATGCTTTGTGTTCATGTACTGCAGTTTTGTGTATTCAGTTGACATATAATTTTCTGCATTGATTGTATACTCTAATGCTGCTGTTGATTTATTTTTAATATGAAGTGGTATTCTAGCCATCTCGGTCCCAGGATATTAGAGAGACAAGGTGGGTGAGGTTTAATGGCCCAATTTTTGGTTTTGAATATGCTACCTTCGGGGTGTCTGAAGGCAAATATATTTGTCTCAGTAGTCAATCTCTTTGCTTCCCCCTGAAATGTAGTGGAAGGAGGAAGCCTTTCCATATGGTTCTTTGGAATATATGGAGCAAATATATAGAGTGCAGAGGAAAGAATTAAACAAGTCTTAGCATAACACCATTGAATTCATGACTGAATTTACTTCAGTATGTTTAAAATTATATGCCTTAATTTGTTAAAATAATCAGTAATTTGGAATGTTGTTTATGTGTATAGCTTTGTCCAAATACTAATTTAGATTAATGCTTAATCTTCCCTTGGCTCACCAAGAATGCATGAATATGTGGTACAGTTTGTTCAGTGGAGATTGACACATTTAACTTGAAGCAGATACAAAAAGTGATTTATATCAGGCCAGTGCCATCAACTTCTGCAGAATTTAAGCCATCATTCTAGCCCTGTGGTTGCAAAGATAACCTTTCAAATGCAAATTCAGGATAAACTGCTGCTAGGTTATCTTACAGACAGACATCTTCAGAGTACGCTGCTGAGTAGATGTTTCTTTGGAAATGCTATAGAGCGAAAACTGACCAGGCCTGTCAGTTTTCATTGCTGCTATTCAAAGTCTTCTGGGTGGCAGTGGAACAAATAAGAACTCAGTTTTGCAGATGCTTGGGAAAGCCCTAAGCAGCTAGGAGACATATGTACTGTAGCTATTCATTTTTTGGAGAAAAGGACTTAACACCAGATTGAGGGAGGGATAGGGTAGTAGTAGTACACCTCCCCCCAGCCCATCAACCAGGAGACTGGGGGAGGAGTAAAGTAGCAGAAATTACTCCCCATTCCTGAAGCAGCCAAAAGGGGGTGGGTTTTGCGGGGTAAGGGGAGGAGGAGGACACATCCAGCATGTTTTTACTATCTACCAGCCAAAAGATATTGGGAAAATTTGAAGCTTGGCCCACAGGCATCTCAAATTATCAGCCATCTACTAACTAGAGGAAAAAAAAATTGCTGATAGAGTTTGCAGATTGGTGGAATGGTAAATTATGATCATTGGTCACTGATCCAGAGCAATCTGAATCAGTTGGTAAGCTTGCTGCAGACAAACAATATGCTCTAATACAGTTCACGGTAGAGGCACAGTGGAACCCCGCTATAACGCGATAATTGGGGTCCAAAAAGTTCGATTGCATTAAATGCGGGGTCGCGTTAAAGCGGGGTTTCAACTTACTGTACAACCATTAAGGAAGTTTTGTCCAAGGCAGGAGGAGCAGGACTCCCTGCGCTGCAGACATGCCCCGGGCAGCACAGTGCATGCCCTGGCTAGGGCGGGGGGGGGGGGGGGGGAGGGAGAGAGAGACAGAGAAGGGGGCGGCCAGGGCTTCCTTCAGCTGGGCCCACAGCCGCCCAGAGGATTCAGGGGGCCTGAGGCAAAACAGGGGAGCTGCGGCACTTGTACTCACCAGGCGGCGGTCCGGGTCTTCGGCAGCGGGGGCTCTTCAGTCGCTCCGCGTCTTCGGCAGCACTGAAGGGCCCCCCGCTGCCGAAGACCCGGACCGCCGCCGGGCCAGGGCTCACGGGGCCCCCACTGCCGGGCCCGGGCTCACGGAGCCCCTGCCACCGAAGACCCGGACTGCTGCCGGGCCAGGGCTCGCGGGGCCCCTGCCGCCGAAGACCTGGACCACCGCCGGGCCCGGGCTCGCGGTTCCCCTGCAGGGCCTGGGGCAAATTGCCCCGCTTGCCCCCCCCTCTGGGCAGCTCTGGCCGGGGCGCTTGCCACTCGGCCCCCCCCCCGCCGTGCCGCCTGCCGGGAGGGCTCCGCGCCACTCCTGCCTGCAAGTTATTTGAAAGTTGTTGGTCAGCGGGGAGGGAAGGACGCGGGCTGGAGCCGGCCCTGCTGGGGACAGAGGTGAGAACCCCAGGGGAGCACCGGGGCTGCAGGGAGAGTCACTCCTGCTGCAGCCACCAGGGCATGGATCCCAAATGCCTCGCGCCCGCTGGACTCGCCCCGCGTCCCCCCGGGGCCAGACTTGCCCCGCGTTATAACCGAATTCGCGTTATCGCGGGGTGCATTATTGCGGGGTTCCACTGTATAAAGAATGCAGGCCATACCTACAGGCAGGTCCTGGAAAGTATTGACTCTGAACAGGTTTTAGAGCAGGGTTTCTCAACCTTCATTTCACCCCAACCCCTTTCTGACAACTACATGACCCCAGGGGAGAGGGGGACGGAGCCTGGGCCCCAGCAAGTCTAATGCTGGCCCTGGCGACCCCATTAAAATGGGGTTATGACCCACTTTGGGGTCCTGACCCACAGTTTCAGAACTGCTACTTTAGAGGATGTTGAAGATAACTAAATTGAACAAGATTTCCAGTGAGATGCTCCGGAAAAGGTTTAGCATATACCATGGGTGTATAAATGGGGATATTGGAACAGAGAGGTAATAATTTCTTCATATATGGCATTAGAGAGACCATTGCTGGAATATTGTGCCAGTTCCTTAAAAAGGATGTTGAAAAATTGGAGAGGGTTCAAAAAGAGCTAAAAGACTGATTTGAAATTTGGGAAAATATGCCTTCCAATGACAGACATAAAGAGTTCAATGTATTTAGTTTATTGAAGGGAAAGTTAAGAGGTTACTGACTGACAGACAGTGACCTACATAGGGAGAAGTTACCTGAGAATTCAGGGCTCTTTAAATTAGCAAAGTCATTACAAGAAATTATGGAAGCTGAAGCTAGAAATAGTTTTTTTTTTTTATTATAATGGAGATATCCCATCTCCTAGAACTGGAAGGGACCTTGAAAGGTCATCAAGTCCAGCCCCCTGCCTTCACTAGCAGGACCAAGTACTGATTTTGCCCCAGATCCCTAAGTAGCCCCCTCAAGGATTGAACTCATAACCCTGGGTTTAGCAGGCCAATGCTCAAACCACTGAGCTATCCCTGCCCCCCCAGTTAAAAGTGCAAAGAAGATACAGTTATAATGAGGGAAATTAACAGTTGGAATAATTTATCAAGTGGCAGGCCATGAAGTCTCTAAATCAAGATTGGATGCCTTTCTATAGGATATGCTATAGTTCAGGGTTTCT